CCAACTAAAATAGACCTGGGGTTTCAGTCAGGGCAACCCAAGCCCCCATGCAGAAAATCATGTCGGGTGTGTTCATCCCCATTGACTTTCAATGAGCACTGAACAAGGCGACCTTGTCCGGCACAATTTTCTGTGGGATCGCATGCAAAATCGGATTCCGTGTGTTCAGGGCTCAAGCTGAGCAAAGTACTGGGTTGCTTGAGGGACTAGAGCCCCATGGAAGGAAAGTGTGGGTAATGTAAATTAGTTGGGTAATTCTGTATTGAAAAGCAAGCCTGATTTGCCTTTGAGAAGACCCATGCTTTGAGCGACAGTGGAAATGGGGCTATGAGCAATTATTTTTAGGATACTTACAGATACATACGGCTCTTGGTCTCGAATAAGCTCACATCTTGTTTTAGTAACAGTACTTTCTCTTTGCTCAGTCATTAGATTGATGGTATAGCATGCTTCCTCTCTGTTGTTATCACTCTTTTTTTTATAAATAACCTTGCAGTATTTCTGCTGTTAAAGAGGTTTATCTTGTTTGTAAACTTTTGTGCTTGGCTTTCAACATCTTATTTTTTATGAGTATTGCTCCAGTTCAAATGCCATTAGATTTAAAGTTGTAAACTCTTCCATCTCCATATTTGATTGATGCTCCGTCTTCACAAGCTGTTTTTATTTGTATTTACTCATCTGTAAAAATCATAGCTATAAACATTTCACTATAATGTTTTTATGGAAGAATTACATTTGCAAACATAAACTGGAGTTTCAAGCAGATTTCCAGTAGATTAGGTAAAGATTTTCATAAATATGATAAAATTTTGATTCACAAAATATTTAAAAATATAAAAGAAAAAGGTTTATAGCTGTATTGGAACATCTAAAAAATACTTTGACAGACATCATTTATGCTTCCATGGTCAGAGATCAAGTTCCCGTGGCATTTGTTCTCAAACAAACTTCCTTTCAATCTACAGGGTGACAGGATCTTTTAGTATATCATTTTAAACCTATATGTATAAAAAAGCAACCACATATTAAATATTTAAAAAAATGCTCAGCTGATGTTGAGTATTTAACCTTTTTTAAGCATTTTTATTTGTATGGTGTAAAACAAAATAATATCCCTTGTCATTCTCCATCTTTAATGATTGATCAAAATGTCAACATGTGGTCAGTTTGCAGTCCAAGTCCACAAAGTCCATTTTAATCATAGCATTCCTGAACCCGCATGGAACAAGAAACCTATGGAGATTTAAGATATAAACACGTTTTTATATATTTATTTAATTAATCTCTTAACAGTGGGCCAGAGTTTGTGGATGATCAGGTAAGAGGTTAACACTTTTCAGCTGTTTGAGAAAGCAGAAAT